TTTTCGGTGCACCACCCACCCACCGGGCACCGTTCGCTTGGCAACAAGCCACGAAGCTCAAGGCGATTGGTCGGTCGGCTGGACGAAGGCCACTTTTCTGTGTCCCCTGATCGCACGGGGTGACTGACATCCGTCGACGGACGGACGGGCGGATCTCGCATCTTTCGAACCCGCTTATTAGTGGCCGTCGTAAATGAACCACCGGTTGTCGCACCGTCTGCCATTGCTGCAGTGGCTGGCACTGTTCACCGTCATAGCCCACTCGGTCCGCGCCGATGCCTGTCTGTCGGGAGGTGCGGTGTTCGGCATCGTGTGCTCGTCGGCGCTGGCCACCGCTGTCCTCATTGCCGCAGGGCTCTTCGTATACTACAAACGATGGAAGTTGCGCCTCAAAACTCGTAAGTAGCCTCAGTCGCGACTCAGGCGCAATTCTGCGTCTCTGCACCATGCCTCAAATCGTCCTTTGCCTCTTCTTTCAGGAGACGGTGGCGTCGAGAAACGCTGCTACGACAACGCGGCATACGTCAAACGCTCAACTGTGGCTGGCGGAAGCGAAGGCATCGTTCTTGCCAACAATGGTAAAAATATTTTTGACTTTCGTCGGGCCGCTAATTTCTGCAATGTACTCGTTTCCTCAGGTAACGAAACGCCGCCGTACGGTCGATCTTCTTTCGGCGGCGGACAACCACTGCAGAACGTGAGTACCGTATATTATAACTGAGTTACACCTTGTGAGGTAATTTTTAGCGCAATGACAATTTCCGCGAATGCTATTCGGTTCTGATCAAAGCCTCATTCCCGCCATTTTAGACGCTTATCACCAGTTTAGGACAACTCCTACTGGACGTCTGGCCCAATACCCGTGCTCATGCCGGTTGATGGCTGTTCTTATACTCGGTGGTAGGTGGAAATAGGCCGATGAATGATAAAGATGTAATTGGATACAAACCCTGATTCTTCTTTCCCCAATTCATCATTTAAGGCAACGGGTTACAACGACAATGCAATGATGCAACGCCACACGTCACCTTCATCATAAGGGCAGCAGCATAGATGTCATTAGTTACAAGAACTCATTTCCGCCAGGGTCTACCTTTTGATTAGATGCTTCACTTGAAGATAACTGGTTACCGCATGAACATAATATGTTTCTGTTAGTAGGCTATTTTCTGACAAACAACTAATCGAGGATCGAATCATCCCTCGACCTCATTTTGACTCGCCACAGAAGTCACTATCTTCCATTAACCGTAAAATAACATGCCCCATGTGAAGGCAGGCCTGAGATACTGCTTAACCGAATTCAGTGTAAATCAGATTTTTGCTCTGTGCGGTATGCCTAACATAAGACGGTTTTGGCAGATGCCGTTCGGTACAGGCCAAGACCTCATTTCCTCCATAGACTACCGTTGAATAAGATGCTAGTAATATATTTTTAGATTTCTTCTTAGTAAGCATGTAATCCACGTGTTTATTAGGTTAATTTCTAACAAATATCTCATCCGTGGCCCTTTAATCTCTCAACTTGGTTTCGATCGCCATAAAACAGGGTTCTCCATTTACCGCATAAAAACAGATATGCATAATTTCTGCACAAATGGAAATTCTGAAACTTCCTCCTGTTCCACAGCGTCGCATAACGGAGTTCAATGCAGATAACATCTATGCCGTGCGGGAATATGCAGCGAAACGGGGCTCGATAGAGCTCATTCCATACTAACGAAAACCTTATTTCCTCATCAGCTGCAACTGAACTGGATCTTATTCCGAAAATTTGCGTCTTGAACATCCAATGCATTTATTTGTTCTTAACAAATATCTAACGCAGCGTCTCTTCGCCTCTCATTATGTTTCCATCTATCTTTCGATCAAGTCTTGATTCGTAGCTAATCGCGTAAGAAGAGGTTGAGGCAGCTGCGTATACCTCACGCAGAAAGGGAAATTCTTAGACTTGCTTCGGTGTGCAACCGATCGCCAAAGCAATGACCGTCCTGTGACCGAATGTCCGTTGTGTAAATTGACAGGTTGTACCACAGAAGTATGCAAAGCGTTCGAACCTGCCTTCAAGCGACTTTCTAACTTATCTGCTGATCTACGAATCGCTCCTAATCGTTATTCGAAAAGAAGCCTGCCACCATGCATTCATCACATGTGAAATGCAAATCAAATCCAATCCGAAGGTCATTACGTTGGATAGACGCAGGCAATCCTGATTTACCCCTGATCCAGGTATACTGGAAAAGCAGACACGCTTGCCGTGATAACGTGGCGGTGCCTGTCAGCGTCTGACGTTGTTGTTGGTGCTGCTGTTTCATGGTCATCAAAGGCTAGTAGCACTTGACAGAGGGGTAACCCAGGTTTATGATGTCTGACCTTTACAAGTGGTCCCTGAGGTGGATATTAAGCAGCGGTCACCGTTGTGGCAAAGGTAATATTTTGGTCACCAGCAGGTCTGCCACAATGAGCTGTTTTCATGTTTTCCATTGTCCTTCAACGCGTCTACGCTCATTTGCCTATTGATGCATAGCAAACTATTGAAACGAACTTCTTTCTCTTTAACGGTCGTTTTTCAAACCAACATCATGTTCTTCTTAGTCTAACATTTCAGAATTTCTTGCAAGCGATCATAAATCGGGGGGGGGGGCAGCGCTTAAGGATAATAGTGTGCTGTACTTTGCCAGTGAATAGAGGACAGAACAGAGTTTGTTGTTATTGTGTTTTGTTTTGGAATGTTACCCTGTGTTGCGGCTGTTATCCAGAGTTCGTGACGTTAATGCGAGGTCGGAACTCTTACGAAGCGGTGGCATTCCGAGCAAAATAACTCATCCAATAAATCGACGCTGCTCTAAGGCGGTCATTGTATTGCGCTGACCCCCGATGGCCTTTCTATACCGGTTGTTGTAGTACCAATGCGTAATGAATGAGTGACCGATGACGCTGTATCTATTCACGTCTGTCAATCGCGGGTGACCTTGGTCCGATAAAGGTCATTCATCCATTATGAAAGAAACTGACCGTCGCTCAACTATCCCAAGAATGAGGTTTGCAAAATCTTTACATTCTACTACGTACAGGCATTCAAGAATATTTTTTGACAAGTGATAATAACTGACAGACTAACTAACAGATATTGTAACTAACTTTGTAAATCAGTTCAATTCTACAGCAGTTAAGCATTAAAGTTTTCAGTTAAGAAATTTTTCTCGCTCCTTTATCACCATTCGATAAATTCTCTAAAAAACTCTAAAAATAATGATAAAATAATCTCTCTGAAGAAAGAAATGAGTCGTGCATGGTTAAGATGAAATTGTCATAGAAGGCCGATTTAGTTAGATTCGTCCTCTATCGAAAGCGGCAAGGATTTATTTAATGCACATCGTCGTCCCAGTAGAATACTCATAGCAGTTGTCAGTCAATCAGTCAGTTGGGAGAGTGGAGGAAAGCAGCTTCAGGCAGTGTCTTCCACCTTCCAGGCTTTGTGCCAGGATTTTGGCTTCTAACTTCGAGATCGAACAGAATCCGTTGAGTCACTCTTCATTCTTCATCTTTCTTGGATGTCCCCTGAGTCTTCGACATGTGGCTGAGCAAGTATTTGTGCAACACTCATGACGTAGAATTCTGCAAACAACTCATGGCGTAACTGAGTTATGGTTGTTTCAAAAATCATTGAAAAATTTAAATCCCTCGCTTGCCCCTTTGCAGAAGTATCTTTGAGAAGAGGGTAAATAGTGTTTTCTTGAAATTCAGTGTCGAACAATCTGTTGTCGAACTTCAACATCTGCTGCTGCTACTCAGCAGCCACCAAAAGACAGTTTCTAAGCTCTTGCAGACGATGTCACGAGCGAATTTCTGATTCGTTTCACAAGACTGGCACATGTCTATGAAAATTATGGAGTCATTTATTTTTCATAGCGAACATGCAATCCAATATCTGGTACCCGCCAACGTTGTTTCAACCTGCTGTAACGTCGGATTCGAAGAGAAAGAAGAATCTTGCTTGACGTCCATCTGTAAGGAAAAGCTGAAGAGTTCTTCCCTCACAACCTTTTTCTCCCTTGCTGAGTCGAGGTCGCTAAGTCTTGAAATTGGAGCTTTTTCCTCGAAGAAATTTGTGTAATCATAATAAAAGTTTTACAC